CTCTCGTGGATATATATATATATATTTTTTTTTTTTCACCGATATCTCAAACATCGCGATCAACGAATTCGAGTTGGAGAGCTAAATAAAAATTTTAGAATGAGAGGATTCGAGTGTTCATTTCTCACTTCGTTAAGCGTTAGAGTCTTAGATGAGCCACCGCCACTATTGATCTCGCCGTTGACGTTGTCTCTGCTCGGCCTGTGGCTCAGCAGTATCGCCGTGCCCATACGAGCGTGCATTTGTTTCTCTTGCTGATTCGCCTCCCGGAATATCGAGTAATACGTGAGAGTCATTATGGTGCAGGGTATCCAAAACGATATACTGGACGACAGTATTGCGTAACCCTTGTTGACCTGGATAATCATACAAGGGTTAAATATGTCATTTGCGCCCTTTGTCTTTTGTTTTTATGATGAGGTAATAGGTGCCCTTTTTTTTTTTAATACAAATAATTTTTACTTCTCATTGAGGAAGATGAAAGACAAAAAATTAGGAGCGAAAATCTCTTCGCTTTGGATGTATCTTATTCACAGCTTTCAGATAAATCCAATTGTGATAAAATCGATCGTGTACTCTTTCAAAGAAAAATAATTAACTTTACGATTTTTCCGAGAACCACGCGGTGTACTCGCTAAAATTTACTCAAAAAGCAATAAAATGACAAAAAAAAAAAAAAAAATGCATAAGGGTTTGATGAGAGCATATTCATATATTACACCATGTAATTATAAAAAAACAAAAGAAAAAAAAAAAAACAAAAAAAAACACACACACGTACCCTAAACATGCACTCGTCCGGATGAGCGTGCCTGAACTGGTCGTTTTCCTCAGTCGTGTACCATCCATTGAAAATGGGTACGAAGGATATGATGGCCGGTGATATCCAGCAGGCCAACAGCATGAACAGAGCGACGCGCTTTGTTATGCTGGTCGGATAGCTGAGGGGCTTGACGATGGCGTAGTATCGATCCACCGAAATGAACATCAGATGGAGGATCGAGCTCGTGCTGAAGTACACGTCCAGCGAGTTCCACACGTCGCACATAAAGTAACCGAACAACCAACGTCCCATTATTTGAACGCTCGCGTTGAAGGTCATGGCAAACATCGCGACGAGCATATCGGCCAGGGCCAACGACACGACGAAGTAATTCGTTATGATTCGCAGCTTGCGGTGACGTATCACCGAGACTATCACCAACAGGTTGCCGAATATCGCTGTTGCTATGATCGAGCCCAGGATGCAGCCCAGTATCACGGCTCTGTTGATTGTGCAATTTTTTTTTTTTTTTCATCGTGAGGATACACAATACTAATTTTTATGCTTAATATAAGTATACTTTAATTTTTTTTTTTTTTTTTTTTTATGTGATTTTTTAGTGTTGACAACTAAAGAACTATACATGATGTATCGGTCTTGGTTCATGACAACGTTATAAAATTTTAGCAGGTACGTGTAAAAGTAAATCTAGTACGTGAATATTTCATTACAAAGTTGTTATTGTTTTTAATGACCGTTTTCATCATCAGCAAAGAACAACAAAAGCAAAGGGGAAAAAAAAATTCTCGACGAACCTGGACATGTCGAACTCCTCGATCCCATCGGTCGTCTGATTCCCGTGTACCTCGGATTCGTTGACGCTCGTAACGAATCCCGTGGGCGACATAGCGGTCGCATTGATCACCGCCACCAAAGCCGCGGCATCCCCCAATGACATGGCGAACCTTTCCTCAACTTCCTCCCGATGCCTCTTACTTTTATGTTTCGTATCAATATCCACGTTGATATCAATATTACGATTATTATAATTATGATTATTATTATAATTATTATAATTATTATAATTATTATTGCTATTGTTTCCCGACACCCTCGTGTGCTTGCTGCTGCCCGTGTCCTGGTCCGACTTCGGCATGCTCCGCACCTCACGCCGGGCGCGCCTCACCCTCAATGTACTCGTCGTCTCCGAGCCAACTTTATCCAGCACCACCTCCACCCTTTGATCCTCTTGCTCCGACCGCTCGGATACCGATCTTTTGTCCTTAATACTACTGGCAATGCTTTGAGTTTCGGTTTGGCCAGAGTCACCTTCCGGCAACTCGCCAGCCTGGAAAATACAATCGTGACAAACAAATAAATAACCATCGAAGAAATCATCGTGCTCAAGGACAAAACGGCGGTAAAGATGAAAAAAAAAAAAAAAAAAAAAATTGTGCGACACCCGCCCATACCTCTAGGTAACGAAGGAGCAGGCCAGCCGTATCCTTGTGGTGGGCGAGACGGCCACCGCGAGCGACAGCTTCGTCCTCGTCCTCGTACCGTCGGCCCACCTCGCCTCGATCCCCATAACAGTCGTTGGACGGGGACGGTTCATCGGCACCTCGGCCACCCCGGGTGTTGCTCCTCACGCTCGCGCCAACGAGTCCAATACCGTCATCCACGGCAGCAGCAGCGGCAGGCCCGAGGCTGCCAAACGCCGAGCTAGCTCGGGCCCCTCCCGCCACGAGTAGCAGCACGACGAGGCCGACGAGTGGCAGCCGTGGTGGCGATAGGTGGGACGGGGGGGTCCGGCCCACTCCACTGCCGCTCCTGCTGCCGATGGGGCTGCTGGTGGGCCGCTCGAGGCTGGAGCCGAGTTGACGGCGTGCTCTACGCTGCGCCGCCGGGCCGCGGCGTTCTGCCAGTTCAGCTGCGATTTTTCCTCCTTGGCGTCGGTGGCGTCACTCGTGACACTTTACACTCGCGTCCCGTCGCTCCTTCCAGACCGAGGACTCACCCCCGGCTGCCGGCTGCTTGGCTTTCGTTGGCCTGGCGGGGTGCGTCTCCTTCGAGCGCCGGCCGACCCCCCGCTCGAGCCTCGGCGACGACGTCTGAAAATTACCACGGGATTGAACTTACAATGAAAGATACAATGGAACTTTTGTCGAGGCTCTCATTCGTAGCCCTTTGATTCGTGTTACGTGTTGTAAGCGTATACATACATATGTACGCGAAAGGACGAGGGAGGGTACGTGTGATGGGTGTTTCTGCTGCATCGATCTGTTTTTGTTGTTTCGAGCGTGTGGCGGAGGGGTTGGGATGATGGCTCTGTTTTTTTTCTTTTTTCTTTTCAACTTGTCGTGGGGTGCTTTGTCCAACAGTTCGATGGTGTATAGTACGCGAGACGCGATCAAGGAGAGCCTCGTTTACTCGTTTCGTTTGAATTTCCAAGGCGACCTTAACACCTTTATTTTTTTTTTCGATTTTTAAAAAAATATTAATACACAGTTTGCTCCAAATTCATCCTCGTTTACGCTTATCGACATATCAATTACAATGGTAACTTTATTATTACGTTTTCACGTAAAAATACCTTTGTTTGAAGATTAAAACGTGAATTATACTAAAATTAACGTCCAGATCTGGGAAAAAAAAAAACAGTAGGAAATAAAAATTAATATTTGCGGAATAGTTTATTCATTTGAATGTACACGTTGGGTGCTTATGGATTATTGGATTTTCCAAACGTGATCTGCCGAATATCAGAACTTAAAGCTTTGTGCACGTGTTTTTTCGAGGTATAAATAAACAATAAAATATACAGAAATCTCTGATGTTTAAAAACTGCATCACGTATTTATTTCAATTGAAAGTATTATTTCTATGTTTTCAATGTAACTCGATGCAATGAGGATCAGCTATGAATTTTTTCGTTATTATTCAATAATAGCTATCCGAGTATTTTCAGTTTCAGTATAACTTGACACTCGTTTTGATCAAAGTTATACATTCGACTAGCGAATTGCCCACAGTAATACCTTAAATAATGTAAAATTGCCCTCTGCACATTACGCGTTAAAATATATATGTAATCCTCGTCAGAGTAGGTGCATTCGAGGCATGCTGGAGTCACTTTAGATAATGTATACATGGCTCGCGTTACGTGCTTCATATGTATTCCCCCAAAAATTACTGAAACTTTGGTAAAATTAACAAAGTTCGCGGAGAAGACAGTTTAATGACTTTTGCTATTGTCCCTTGCAGCTATTTCGGGGACAAAAATTATTTTATGTCCTGTGTTACATTCATAATCACGTTTAGTTGAATACATTGTCCCGAGGATTTTGCTAGTACGCGTAATGTTCTCGGTGGATGTGTGAGCAACATAAAAAAAAAACCACTTACAGATTTTTTAAAATAATTACTGTACATCCAAAATAATTCATTTTATCGAAGAAAAGAGTTGGGCTGGCACAGGGCTAACAGTTACGTGGAACATAAAACAAGAGGTTGGATACCAAAGATTATCATCCCAGGAGCTCTCGAAAGGATGATAAACTCGGATTTCATTAAGCTATGGTTAAAATAAAACCAGTGGAAGAAAAGAAAATGATTTTTCTTAAGCAGCGTTTAACTTTACGGTAAAAATATTTAAACGACTTAGCTTTGGGTTGGTAACAATTGTCATGGCCTGGACATTTGAATGAAACTTATCTTTTGTGACAATAAATTTTGTTTGAAAAAAAAAACGCAACGAAAAAAATTTTGCAATATCTTTCTAAAAGAATCTCTACATGTCTGATAAAAGAATGTAAGACTCACGCGCTCAATCCAATCAATTATTTACTGTGGACTTTTACGGTTGCGAAAAAAGAAAAAAAAAAAAAAACTCATAAAACCCGCGTGTAGAGAAGAAAGATTCCCTTCCCTACCTCCTTCTCTGGCAATTAGTTCAAAACCTTCGGTCAACAAACTAACATCCTCGCATCTGTCTGTTCTTCCGGCCGTTCACACGCGTTGTTTGTTTCCACGTCTAATCCGCCGGGTTAACCATCGACAGCCCATTTTCGTCCAACCAAAAGCTGAGAAATCGATGCGTCAGTCGGGTCGGCTATCATTTCATTTTATTTTTTATTTTATACTTACACTGATACCCGTATGGTCCACGCTGATAAGGTTTTTGAGTTGTAGAAGGTCTTTTTTTTTCTACGTTGTGTCTTATCTCTTTACCAAAAGGTTTGGTGTGCGAAAATTGGGTAGTTGGCCGAGAAGATTGATGTGTTACAAATTTTGGCAGACTATGGTTTTTTTTGGATGAGAAAAAAGAAGGCAGGACAAACAATTTCACACGAAGATTTCGCAACGTAAGACCAAAGACGTGTTGACGCAAGGAACCTCCTACACACCGACAAGTTGAGGCTATTTTTTTCTTGTGTACCTGTACAGAAAAAATGCCACAGGACCCGACGAACTTTTCCTTCGCAACTTTCGTCCTTTTCACTTTATTTTTCGAGTGGATGTAGAAGAAAAAGGTTTTTCCAACATGTGATGCGGAGCAGGAAGTGCCCTGGAGAAAACGAGGGCAGGGGAAGGCGTCGAAATAGCTACACGATCGTCCCGGAATTTCGGCAGATAATGAATTCCCTTCCTCCGAGCGAGAGCGGACCTTTTAGTTTATTATTTTTTCCCCCCGATTTCATCAACGGACAGAGTAGATGAGTTTAGAGATAGGGTGGACGCGCCAAACGGACGAGGCAGAGACACCATTTGCGATGGGAAGAGAATGACGCGCCCATATCGGCAGGGTGTTTTGCAAAATCAGAGGACAAATGGGATTTTTTTTTTTTTGCCCATCTCGGCACATTGATTCGTCTCGTGACCGTACAGCTTTTTTTATTTACAGCAAGTACCAGTCAATCCACATACTCTCTTAATACTGTAACTCTGTCGCACGTGGTTTATTACAACGACTCATTTCGTAATGAACAAAACAGTATACCGTCCTTACGAGGATCGAAGAAATTAATCGTCAAGGTGAAGGTATTTATTTTTACCTCAACTAGAAAAGAAAAAAAAAAAAAAGAAAATTGCACCTCGATTGCACGAAAAGTCTTTTTTTTTAACCACAAACAGTTTCACTTGGAGATAAGTTACACAAGGCCGACGAACAAAACCGACCACAGCAACAACGAATCAAACCCAATAAACCCCGCAGCATATCCATTAGGCTTGAGCTCGATATATATATATATATATATATATCCCGGGGCGCGGTACAAATCAGATAACGCTTCGCTTTGAATTATAAACCCAATTAATATCAGCACTCCCACCCTCTCTCTTTGCGGCATAAATTCCCCAGAGATACGTATATATACACGCTTTGCCGAATTGTCCAACGAAGAGGAAAAAAATGAAAGAGCGACGAAGGTCTTGGGATCGATACATCCATCCGAGAGTGACCGGAAAAGCCTTTCTTTGGAGCCCAAAGAGCCTCGCATCGTTATCCAAGCAGCGGGCCGAGCCGCTTATAATATGTATATAATGTCACACCACCGGTGCCCACAACCCTGCACCCTTGTACCAACGGACCGACGACGCGTTTCCTCGTCTACACAGCGGCCCCGACATTAACCCCCCCCCCCCCAACGGCCGCGAGGACGCGGTAAGGCCTGACCGCGAAATCGCGTGTGCACTTCACCGACAAAGTGAGGGGGGAGGGAAAAAAAGTCCACTATCTGCGCTCGATCATCGGCATCTGTGCGATCTCTCTCGCTCGCTCGCTCGGAAGAAAGAAAGAGAAAGCGTATATACCACATGGAGCAGCGCGTCATTGACATTAGAGAGAGGTTTCAGGGGCGATGGGGCGGGGGGTGGTAGCGCCGACGACAGTGACCCTCGGCTTGTGCACCTGTACTTGTGTACACACACACACACACACACAGAAACACGTGTGCCGTCGTGTAGAGATATAATCGCAGTCACGTAAAACACGAGTATTAAGCTGTATTACGATGAGCTCCATGTGCGTATATATATATATATATATATATATATATATATGTGTGTGTGTATACGAGTTTAAAGGCGAGCGGGGTAGGTATGTGATGTATATGTGTGCGAGCATCGAAAATAGCCGCGGTGGCTAGTCGAATCCTCACATTGTGAGCTAGAGCGTCAAGGTCGAGAGCTACACGCGGCCATGTATATACATACGTTTATTTCAATGTATTTATGCATATTTGTGGGTCCGTGTGTGTACGTGCGAGTGGGTGGATGCACTCCACCCCCTGTTGGCGCCGCGTCCGTATATCGAGTGTAGGTCTGCGCGAGCTTGACGACTTTTTTCAAGGATCAATGTCACGAGCATTTTTCCTTTTTTTTTTTTTTTTTTTTTTTTTTTTCTCTCGATCGAGTGACAGATAGAGAGAGAGGGAAAGGGAGGGACAAGGGGTGGTAATTAGTGATTCAATTGCGCTTTTTCATGGAGAATTTTTCGATTTGCTCATATTTTTTACCGATTCCTTGGAAACCTTTATTTACTTTTTTTTTTGTGTCCGTTCTAAGATAATCTTCGTAACAGTGCGATCATCACACGGCCATTCACAAGGAGAGAAACGCCACGTACCGTTTTTTTTTTTTTTTTTTTTTCAACCATGTATACATATTTATCCGAGCATCATTTCCGAGCAGCCCCTCTGTTTTTCCTTCATAATTCAAAACAACAGGTACATATGTATACATATACATGTACACATCCACTGCGGTACAGAAACTCTGCCACCTCGAGGAGGCCTGCCTCGTTCCTCGTGTCCTTTATAAAAGTTTGTTATTACACTGCGAGCACGTCCTCCTTCTTGGGCCATAAAAAACCTCTCTCCGGCCCGGCTAACAAACGCCCAGCGCGTGCTGCAGCTGCGAAACTTTTGCAATTCCTTCTCTCTCTCTCTCTCCGCGGTGCGAGAAATATTTTTCTCAATCCACCTTTATGTGTATATGTTACACTTGTGCTCGCACTTGTCTTCGCTCGAGGCTCTCTTGACGTGGCGCCGTGCCTTGCTGGGCTGCAATGGATGGACGGGTCGCGAGGAAAATATTTCGCAATCGCAGG